TTTTTGAAGCAATTTGAGTACATAAATGCAGAATCCATTTAAATCTGTTAATAGGCATAAGCAGTAATATTGTTTGGATATGCTACTTATTTACTTTCAAAACACTGAAATTTATTTCCTTCATGCTTATGTAAGAGAGGTAGGAGGAAATAGCTTTTTAAAGTCGTTTCTGCCTCTTTACTCTCATAGACTCCCTTTGATATAATTTCCACTTATGACCAGAAAATGATAAACTCCACTTTTCAGAATTTCCTTTTTAACTCGGAGAAGGAAAAGCAGTCGTGTTGGAGCTGAATGTGATTTAGATTAATTTGTATTTCCACAATGCCTAGTGACAAGCTAAGCACCTCTTAGCACATTAGCTTTGAGCAGACGACAGTTATCAGAAGCAGATAATTATCAAGCGAAGGCCGCGATCAGATTCCAGATGCCAGTCTGTTGGAGCCCAGATGATCTGTGAAAAGCAAGGTCTAGAGCTCGCTGCCTGCTCTGCTGCTCCCGCTGCTGTCGCCTTCGGGGTAGCTGTGCTTAACTTGCTCACTGCTGCAGGTGTGTTGGGCCATCGTAGACTCTTTCCATTGGAAGCTCAAGAGGAGGAAGAGGGTGTGTTGAAGGTAATAGCCTCCCTCATCTTCCTCACTAACCTCCTTTATATAATTCCCAACATCTAAGGACTGTTTTCATTCATTTCTGTCTTCTGTCCTTTTTCTCACTTCGGGGCAGAGGAGGGGGAAGAGTCTAGACAGACACACAAGTTAAGTTTGATGGGATGAGTTTGTCCCCTCCTCTTGTGTTCGCATTAGGTAAGCCAAAGCTGGTTGGCATTGCTTTAAAACCTGGAATACAGTATCAAGGATTGCAAATTTATACAAAAGATTATGCTCTTCAGATGCCTTACTGGCCTCTAACATGCTCAACAGACTGCCAGACAGATGAGCCTGGTGGTTTTAATAGTCTAGAGCAGAGGTTCTCTAAAGGTAGGTAATAGCAAGAGATGATGATCGCTAGTTAAGTGAATAGTAAAGGTAACAACCGAGTGGAGCAGCCAAGAGCAGTTTGAGACACTGTTCTTCAATAAGTGTGTCAAGTATGAAGGATATTGGGTGTCACTTGATGAAGTTCATGAAGAGTCTCTGAAGACTCTTGAAGAGATTCAGCTGTTTCTTTTGAAGTTGTTCATATCGGCTACAGGTGGGGATTGATGACATGCAGAAGGAAAATAGGAGGTGTGAGTGTTACTCAGAGCAAGATCTGTAGGGAGGGCCGCACGATAAGAGTAACCTTGTAGGAGCATCCTAACATGGGGTAAAGAACAGGAGAAGAGGAGGTTCCTCCCAGAACTTCTTTTATGATAAGGTCCTTCCAAGAAGAATACTGGGACAAGAAATATGCATGCACAAATTCCCCTAGACTCCCCGACTTGTCACTTGAGTAGTTCTTGTTTCTTTGCTTTGAGTCTAACACAGACCCACTAGCAAGCTTAGCCTAGCTGCAGTCACCTATCTCAGTGGTAAGTACAAAATACCTCTCTGAGATGAATCTAGTTCTAGGTAACTTCACAGCAGCAACATCACTTTTATCCCTGGCATTGTAGTGTGGCGTTAACATGGTAGCATCTTGAAGGCACTTTGCTCCAAATTGCTTTAAATAGCACAGGCTAAACAGGGTCAAAGTGTGGCACCGAGGTGCCTCGTTTGGGGAGGAGAGGGGTAAAATGAAAAGCCCTTTCCCAAGTGCTGAGCAGGAGGAGGTGGAGGTCACGATTTCATTATGATCCAGCTGACACCATCACTGGATATAGTCTTACATTTCTCCATTCAGTACCGAGCTAAACAGAGCGAGCTGGTGTGTGCTGAGAACCTCTCCTTGCTGGTGTTGTGCCAGGCACTCATCTTTTGTGCTCTTCCTTTCAAAGCAGGTCCTCAAGAGCGGTGGAGCAATTGGTGCCTCTTGTGTTTAGCCTTTAGAAATCATCCTCTACGTACAGGATCCTTTTTCTTTTCCTGCAAGGCTTCATTTATGTGTTGCACAGGAATTTGCTTCAATGGGAGCTAAGGAAATGCAAAGAACTTGTTACAGATACACTTGTGCGTCTCCTCAATGTTTATGTAAGGGTGCCAAATGGCTCTCTAGCTGTGTAGCAGTGTGTTGTATATCTAGCAGCGTAGCACTGAAAATACCCCACGGTGTGAAACCCCTCCTGCCTGGCTGTTGGTGGCCGTGGGATGAGACACTTGATCCCATCACCATCAGGTCGGGCAGCGCTTGCGTTGTGCCACGCAGCCCTGTCCCCTTCGCACTCCCATCTGTACTGTCTTCTGCTGCTTCCAGGCCCCATCCTCATCCCACTCCCGTGTCCCATTGCTCCCTCCTTCCCGTTGCTCCTAGGTGGCAGGTTATCCGTATCCTTGGTCTTGGTCCTGTAACTGCTGGATATGAAGCTGCTGTGAGTCCTTAACTATGGTATATTATTTGGGAAATGTTACTTTTTTTCCCCCAAATGGCTAATATTTTGAACACACAGCATCATTCGACTCCCTTGCTTAATGGTTCGTTTTATACATGTGTCTACTTTTATGACACAAAAATATGTCCAAGTTAAAATCAGAATATTTGGCAAACACTGGTGAATGTTTCTGCTTGATTTTAGTTTATTGACGAAGCAACCAGCACTAATAAGTTAACGCTGTCTCAATTAGTCCCCTGCAATATGGTTGTAAGTAACCCAAAAGCCGGCCACGCTTCTGTAATTGAATCGCTGCCTTGTTAGAGGTCCCCCGTGGCCAGGATTCAAATCGAGCTCAGCTGCAGCGCCTTTGTCCAGCATCACCAGAAGCTCAGGTCTGGGAGAGCACCACGACTATCTGGGCTGGTTTTAATGTATGTAACGTAGGCTTTTAAAATGCCTCAATGTCAACTAGCATTTTACAGCACAAGTTCTTAACTATGCTGGGGAAATGCAACTTCACAACTGAATAGATGGAAAAACATGATAGATGGAAGAAATGTCGACATAAAACCAGATTTACCGAATAAAACTAAAAATAAATGGCATGCATTGGAGATTTGGAAGGTAAATGTGTATTTAGAGTGGAACGGTGTTGGCACAGTGTTGTTAAAACTTATTTTAGTAAGCCTGTGTAAAGCATTCTTACCAGCTAACGATATGAAATTAATATAACTTGCTTGTGGTGCTCCTTTATAGGAGTGTTATTATATGGGATGGACATAAAGCAGCTCTTGCCTTTCATTTGCAATGTTTTATGGTATTAACGTACCCTGTAGTAATCTATGGTTAGTCTATGCTTTAAAAACCACTTTGGATGCATCGTGATTGAGCTGTAGCAACAGTTCCTATTTTTGCATAACACAGCATTTAAAGCACAGTATTAGTGGGAGTCTCATTTGGGTGTATGTATGTATAAATATATATAAATATTTATTTTTAAGGAACAAGAAAGATAAAGCGATGCCGTCGCTTCAGTAGCTGTCGCTGCCTGATAGATGCCGGGCAGCCGCTGGCTGGAGAGAGGTTTTCATTGCAAGTGACAGGTGCCACAAGGTTTATTTAGGAGAGCCTCAACCTTGTCCTGGTTAGCTTGATAATGTTGCCTTATGGATGTTCAACCACTGCATTTCCTGCGTTAGAGCCTTGTGTTACACCAATATTGCTATCTGTGCTGCCTCAACTACAAATTGGATGAACAGCCAGTGACACTTTTTCAATATTATTACATTAAACCAAGTGGATTTTGATTGATAACCTAATATTCAACTAATGCAAAACATCAATCATGGCAAGTATATTAATTATTTAATATTGCAGTCTAATTCAGAAATCGATGTGCTGCATGAGGGGAAGGGAAACTCGCTGTTCCCAGAAGACTTAAGACAGGGGATGATTAAAAAAAAAAAAGAAAAGGGGAAAAAAAACCCTGCTGTACTCCTGTGTGTTAGTTCGATACAAATCTTTATTCATTTGCCAATAATCTCTTCGCATTTTCCACTTCAGGACCATTTTTATCAGTTTTGAGGCCTGTAATTGAATTAAGGCTGCTTTCAGCGAGCGCTGGCGGCCGCCGCGTCCCGGCGGGGACAGCGCGGGAGGCCGCTCGCCTGCTGCCCCGGCCCTTGCTTCTCATGCTGGCTAGACTTGAATAAAAATAATAATAAAAGTGTAACAAAAAAATAAAGTGTATCTTTTCCTGTGAGAACTTATAAGAGTGTGTGTGAAAAACCTAACGTTTCTATTGGGGTTGTTCCAGAAAGCAGACTGAACCTAGCTTTGCACGGGCTCTGCTTATCTTTGAGACTACGGTAATACTGCTTATGGCAGCCTGGTGATAAATACTGCCTCATGTAGAGTGAGGGCTTAAAATGAGTATTGGAAAACAGCTCTTTTCAGTATTTAGTAAAATCTCTTATTTTCTACCTGTCTTTGTGCAGCTTCACATTGCAGAGTGTCCCTTGCCCTGAGTAGGGGCTGCAAAGCCAGGCTTAATCTCGTGCCGTTTGCTGCCCTGGTGCAAAACCATTGGGTTTCGCCAAAGTGGCTCCTTAGAGCTCAATAATTTGTTGAAATAGGTTTTCCTATTTGTGTTTTTAAGTGAGCTGCCTCTGCGAGCACCCGCAAAGCCTCGGGCTGAAGCAGCTGCAAAGCAAATCCAAGTGTGGATTCAATAAGTGCAGAATTACATTTGTTTTATTAATTTCAATATGAAACAGTGGGATAACTATATAAAATATTTTTCAAAATGAATGTGTTCTTCCATGGGTAAGTTTATAGCAATTGTAAGGCAGGTGGAACCAGAGGCTTTAAACAATTCTGCAGTTATCCATTTAGATGATGGATGCGCTTTAAATATTGCAAAGGTTAAGGAATAAAAAATAAAAATTTTGCATACTCAAGAAATTACATGGTTTTGACGCTTCTGAGAAAACATAAATCATTGCAGACAAGGGTTTAGCAACTATTTAGAACTTTTGTTCTTCTGTTACAGGGACTCCGGAAACATCAAAGCTGGATTAGAACATCTGGTAAGTTTTAATTTTCTCTTGAACATTTGCATCATCTTTGATATCTGCATTCCAAATGAACACTTTTGAATGAGCTTTGAATACCTTGAATTGAGAAAGTCAACCATTTCCCAGAGGGTCAGCTTACTATTATTATGTGAAGGCACTTACATTTTCATTTATCTTACCATTTCAAGGGAATTTTAATTTTTTTAAATTACTTTTTTTGATGTAGAGATAAAATAAAACGGGCTACAATCCTTGGATTGATGATTGCCTTAATTATAAACAAAAATTGTTTGGTGTCGGATTTTTTGGCATATCCTGATCTGAAAACAACAAACTTGTGATAAAAAAAAAAAAAAAAAAAAAAAAAAAGAAAGAAAAACCCACACATAATCAAATATTGCCTGCATAAATATGGTATGTTTTAGTGATTTGAAGTCTTTGAAAGAAGTGCACAGCTTTGTTTTTTTCTGTTGTCTTTGCTTTATGAATAATGTATTGACTTAAATTCCATTCAGTGCAGCAATATAAAATAGTAATTGAGATGCAAAATATTTTTGGTTTAAGTAAACATATTCGAACCACAAGTGATAGCAAGACACACTTAGCATTAAAAACTAATCAGTTGATCAAAACTGGAAAATACACAATATTGTCACAAGTCTGAAATTCATTGAGCTTAGAATGCTAGTATCAGCAATCATCAGAACATTAAGTAGTTCATCTGAACAGATTATTAAATCCCATTAAATCAAAATATTCACTGCTAATGGTACGTATACTTCTCTCAATATATCACGGGAAATGTTTAAATTCATGTTTAATTTTTCCTATGGCATCTAAATATAAACTGCTCCGTACCACCATTGAAATAAAACTTTATCACAATCTATTGCGTGCCCATTTTTAAAAATCGCTTTCCATTGTTGCTTTCCATTTTGAGAATCATTTAGAAAATACTGTTTTAGAGGCTTGTATACCAATGTCCTGGATTAACAGCGGGAAAAGAGGAGGTGTATTCTGGCATAGTTCCCTTTCATAACGGTGGCAAATTAAATACACTTTTGCAGCTAGTAGTTTGCATTTGTAAATGCAACAAACAGCACCACGAGTAGCCCTTAGTTTGAAAATTCATCTTGTTTGCTGCGTTCAGAGGTACCTGGCGTGCTAGCTGAATCTCTTAAATCAACGTTTAGATGGTTTCATTGCGTGGCCGGTGTGGGGCTGTTGTAAGCCGGGGGGCCCGGGGCCCGTTTCTCACGCACTGTAAAGCTGCTCTGCTCCTGACAGCAGCCGATCCCGCCGGGTCGGGACGCTGACCGGGACTCGCTCCGTCTCGCTGCCGTTTGGGCGACGGTGCTCCGTGAAGGAGCAGGACCTGAAGCCCTTCGGCAGGCAACGGCTATGGGTGAATAAGGCTTTGTCTTCATTAAATACAGTAGTTGTGCCATGTTTCTGTGAAATATCCACCAGAAACCTCCAGGCTCTTGGGCTTTTTGGCCTTTTTCCCGTGAAAAAGGCAAAATACAGACTTGTCTTTCCTTTTCTGCCTTTTCTTTTCCTACAACATCTCTCCTGAGAAAAGGTGCCCAAGCCACTCTGCTCTTTCCTAGACATACATGGGAATTTTGCTGCCTGGAATTGTTATATCTCAGTGTTATGCAGGTTGTTTTTGAACTCCCAATAAATTGTAGGGATAACCACCTGGTTGCACTAATTCTGCTACTTCAACTGCTGCCATTTCCAAATACTTGTAAGGAATTTTTGGTCCTATTTCTTCCAAAGCTGGCAGTGAAAGAAGAAGAGTCTTTATATTGATTGGATTGGCTGCATCCCCTCTCGGTCATCGTGATAGGCTCTACCTGGGCCAGGTGTTTGTGTTGCTTTTCTCTGCATGCCTGTGCCATGCGCAGGATTGCAGCCCAGTTCATGTACAAGCAGCATCTGGTATCTAGCATCTAGTTACCAGATTAAATAAAATTTAAAAATTTTAAATTTATGAAATTAAATAAACTAGTATAGCTACTACTTTTGAAAAAGTGATAAGCATTTTACAAATTATAATTTGGAATTAGTTTCAGGCTAAAAATAGGTGCTTTAATGAGCAAAAAGTGTTTGGAGAGCTTCATGTACCATGGTTCCAGCAGGCGGGTTAGAGCTGGCCCTGCTTGCTGACCTTCGGTGAAGAGGAGAGCGGTCTGGCTGAGCAGCAGGTCTAAATTGCCCTCCCGTGGGACCATAAATAGTGAAATCTCCTCAGAAGCATTTTTTTTTTTAGATAGTTAAAAGGGGAGAATGAAACATAGGTTTTAATGGGGAAAATGAGATAGGTATTCCAAAGCTTGGGATATTATTTGCAAACTTTTATTTAGCTAATTCCTTTTCTGAGCACAGCCGTTGAGCAAGTGCCCCAGCCTTGGGGTGTTAGATCCCATACTTGCCCCTGCTCGCGGGCCCTGTCTTCTATTAATAGCCGCCCTAAAAGAGACCCGCGGAGCCATCCGTGCGGTCTGCTCAGGAGAGGCCTCTCGCTTGCTCTCTGGGTAACGTTTCAAAGCAATAACCTGCCTGTCCTTGTGGTCAAGCAGCAGAGTCTGGCCGCTCTAGAAGATGGAGCGCAGCCCGTCATTAATAGCTTGTTTCGCCCCTCCGCGCGCTGGGAGCAGGGAGCGGCTGCGCGCGGCCTGCCACCGATGAGGCCCGCGGTGCGGGCACGGCTCCTTGTGCTGCCTCCTGCGCTCCTGCCCCTGTGGGTGCCTACCCTACAACACGTCCGCCTGACCGCTGGTGAAGGTTGCCTCTGTTTGAACTGCTCTTGGCTCGTGGAAACATTTTCTACCAAAGATCAGTCCCCCAAACCCCCGCTTTAGCTAGGAAGTGCTCCTACCTCTTCATCAGGTAGCTCTATCTTTACTTTCTTGGCCCCTGATTTTGGGGGCCACTTGGTGCTGGCCTGGAGCAGCTCTGTATCAGCCTGTGGTGATTAAAGACCAGCCTCCTAGCAGGACTTCAGGGCAGCAGGGCCTAACAGCATCATTGGCTCCTTAACGAGCTGTAAAACCAAGCAGCTGACTATTTGTATTTGCAAACAATTAATTAACACTCTTAATATGAGCAATTATGTTTATCTCTGCATCCTGGCAAGATTCCATTGCATTCTGCGTGCCTGAATTCGCTCTCACCGCATGCCTGTTGGGTGTGTGCTTTCCTCCCCATTGCAGTGGCATTGCGGTGGCCAGGGCGGCGCAGCGGGGAACGAGCAAGGGGGCTGTTTGCCCCCTCGAAAAGAAGAAGGTATTTGATGGGGTGTCCCCCCAGCACCAGTGTAGACCCGGCGGGCAGGGGGGCTTCTCCTGGGCCCCGTGGTTGGGACACGAGTCAGTGCCTGGGGGCCCTGTGCTGCAGCGGGGCCGGCAGGGATGCAGGAAGCCTTTTAAAGCAGGGAAATAAAGGCAAAATAAAAACGTGCAAGCAGAATTTCTGTCTGGAGGTAGGCAGATTAGTGTGGGGAAAAACAGTCCCGCAAGATGCTGTGGTGTCACTGTCCTTGGAGATCTTAGGCTGTAGCGTATGATGCCATAAGGAAGTTTGTATTTATTTCCATGTAAGTTCCTGATTTTCACATCTATCTCTCACTTATCCTGTATAGACTTAATGCATTTTACCTACATTTATGCATACATTTTTAAAGTCATTAGTTTGCTGTTTGAAAAGCTACATGTTAAAACCTTCAACTTGTTTTGTTTATTGAATCCTCTGAAGACTTCCTTTGACAAAGGACAGTAGATAGGCAGGAGTTTTCTTTTGGAGCATGAAGTGTGAAAATGCAGCCGCTGCTATCATCTCGCTGGCCAGGTTGTAGAAATAACTAACTTTTAATTTGTCAGAAGTCTCAAGTCATTCAGAAATAGCCAAGTTGTAATCATCTTACAAAATACTGTCACATGCAGGTTGCACAAAAAGCGTTGCTCTTTAGTAGTTAAGCTTTGGACCAGGTTGGCACGAGGCGATCACGTAGCCGAAGACCAATGACTTAAGGATAACCCTGGCAAAACGTATTCTGTGTGGGCTGCTTTGCGTGCCGGGGGGCACGGAGCCCCTCTCTCCGGATGAGCGGGTAGCTCGGGGCCCGTGCCCTGCAGCCCTTACCCAACGCCTTTGCACCGGGGCTGTCACCGCACGGCACTGCCAGGAGATGTTGAGGAAGGAGCTTCAAAGAGCTTGAAGGGTTTGTTGGGCGCGGACGGGCGCGTTTCCTATAAACTTTTCTATAGAACAAAGTTGTAGCCTGTCACTGGCCATTAGCTGCTGCCGATTAAACCAGAGGAACTGGGCATAAAACAGCCCGGGCGTCTTTAATGTCTCTGCGTCTTTATTAGACGGGAAACTTTGATCCCTTGCCATTTAGCAGCAGAGCTCAGCGCTGATCCCGGCGAGCCCGAGTGCCGAGGGGAGCACGCGGGGCCGGGGCCGCCTCCTTCCCCGGACCCCATGTGCTTCCTCCTTGCCATTCCCTACCTATTTACTCCATAAATTTGTTTGACTCCTATTTTACATCGTAATTTTTAAAAGGCAGATCTGTGCGTAAGTGTTTCGGTGTTGCAGACAGATTACAGGAATGATCAGATGAAGTAAATAACCCTGCAAAATATAAAGAGTGTTATTTTCTTTGGCATCTGCATAAAAAAAATGCGCTTGTGGATGTTGTTTCCAATTGCAGCAGCGGTTTGTACGCAATTTCGGTAATTTGATCGTAGCTGATGAAAAGCTGACAAGATTTCCACAGCGCCCCATTAGATGAAAGCAGCATGAAACCACAGGTTAATCTGCAAACAGATTTTCATGCTTATTACTCTAATGATTCCATCATATTTGATGTAGCAGGCTGCAAGGCGTCTCTCGGCAGCAACAGTGTGCTCCATTTTGATCTCTCTACTCATTAAATGATGTAGTAATTTGACTGACCTCTGACCAGGTGCATATCTATTCATAATTGCATGTCATTCTGATGGGGA